GGTGAGGACTTTGGGTGACATCCCAAAAAAAGGCTGCGAGGGAGACTAAGTAAATTTGAGATCATAGGTTATTTACAACGGATGGTACATGACCTGGTACATGACACACATCATTAGTGAAATGTGAAACTTAAGCGTGCTGCTGCTAAGATTACCCAGATAAACGCACATTTGATCACATTTTCTGATTTAAAAAGTGGAACGAAAACAGGAACGCGCTTACAGCGGGTACGGTCTCGCTTGCTTGGAGATTAGATCCAGAAATGAGGAGGCGATTAATTCTACACGAAACAGGATTTACTCGCTAAAGTTTTTTTACTTCCTACTTTATCGACGTCGATACTTTTTATTTGTTTCTGAACTGATTTAGTACGCGTGTTAGCGTCGACCAGAAATTCGTCTGCGGTCGCAGGCTATACGCGTGCACAAATACACGAAAATTCGATTCCAGAGAAATTATTTATCGAAAACTGAAATATGATTGAAATTCTGGGGAACATTAATTAATATTTCTGGGGATCAAGGGAACATGCAACAGAATTTCTGGGAACAGGGGAACTTGATGAAAGTGAATTTCAGGGAACATCTTAATTTATTTTTGGGGAACAAGGGAAAAACTCCAATTTTTTCTAGGGAACAAGGGAACATGTACCCCCCCCTCCTGGGAGGCCCTCATTAGTATTATACCTTGTATGGCTGAAGATGATGTTTGAAAGATCGAAACATGTTCCACAAACTTAAAAGTGTCGTTGTGTTTTTAAAAATTATTGCTGCATTTGTGCTATCAAGACGGTTTGGAAAACTTAGTTTTCATAGACTTTGAAGGTAAACAGGTTTCTAGAGCAAACAGATCAACTAGCTATAACTGTTACAAAAGGCCTGCGGTATTGACACATGACTGAAAGGTCTTGGAAATAAAAACTCTAAAATACATGATACATCAGATAACCTCTGCAGCAGACACATTAGTGAACAAAATAAATGGAAACTCCTTGGTAGCCAAAATTCCTCTGGCCGGCAAAAGAAAGCAAAAGCATTTTTGGCGCACATGCCATATATAGTTATTTTAGAGGCCCTGCCAGGGCAAATTCTGACAAGGTGCAACATGACCCAAAAAGTAACACAAGAGCATAAAATGAAATCGTGACAAGCACATTTATAAATAGAAAAATTAAAAAACAGTTGAAAATGGTCTTTAAATAATAGTAACATCAAAATTAATCTTTAAGTCATAAAAGCAAACCAGCTCATACTTCACAAAATACAGTTAAATATTCCTTTTAAGTTTGGCATTCAACACTCTGACATTTCATTTGTTTTTACAAGCTCCGTCTTAGGTTTAAGACAAAAACAATTTACAAGGGTAATGTTGCGATTAAAACATTAAATGTCCAATTGTTATTGAGTTTCTAGTTTCGAGCTAAAATTTTTGGACAAGAACTCTTGGGTTTGGGACGAAGGAAAGTGGATAGGAACATTTTTCTCTTACTCTGAATTAGTCTTAAAATACTGAACGTGGATCACTTAATTGTAAATGGTGATGTATAAGTGATCGACAGGCAAAATGTTAACTGAGAAATTGCAGAACTGTAATGGTTTCTTTACAACGAACTTTAATTCTTGTTTAGTTGCCGACAGTGATATGAAGTATTTAAAAACACTGACACGAGACATTTTAAAATTCAGAGGAGTGACATGGGACCCGCCTACCCCCCGCCCCCCCCTCGCCACTAGCAGGGCCTCCATACAGGTATTTGTCAGCATGATGACATACAAAATAAGAGTGGCAGGGAAAAGGGAAGTTACCCTACTTAAAAGAAAAAAAAGGATAAACTGCCAACCAGAAAATATAATCACCCATAATATTATTTCATTCTTTAAAGCTTTGAAAGTAGGTAAGAAAACCAGTTGCTGTTCTTATTAAGTGAATGATTAATATCGTCACACTCTAAAGTAGTTATTTATATTCAATTCATATTGAGGAAATATGCACCACCTGAAAGGTTTGCGCCCAATTTTCAACATTTTCTCCAAGTATTTAGCTCTTTCCTCTGTAAGCCGCTTAACTGAAGCAGGCTCTAACTCAGAGTAACGGATATGTTCCTGCATTTCCTCCCACGTCTGATTTTTATGCTGCACAAACTTAAGCACACATCTTTCAACTATCCACTCTTCCACAAAAAATCTTTGACTCACAATTATCACTTCCAAGGCTTCGTCTACAGTCATGTCCTCTGTGCACCAGTGGCGTAAGTATTCCTGGCAGCGGGTATTCATTGGATCGATTTGGTATTCAGTCGAAAGCTTCAAAAGAGCGAGACAGTTTTTCTTTGAGATAAAGAGATCCTGATCAGGATAAATACCTTGAAGCATTTGTTCTATTTCCGTTGCATCTTTGCCCGGAAGTGATATTTCTTTGGCAGTTTTCTCTTTGAAATCCGAAGACAACATGGTCTCGAAGACTGGCGAACACAAGATCAAAACAGCCCGATGGACATGA